AACACTGACACTGACAAGACCCCACTGCTCAGGAAAAGCAAGAAACAAGACTGCCCCCTACAGGTGTTTTTTAATGAAAAAAAAATCAAGGAGACTTTACATCTACAAACTCCCAGTTTTGACAAGAGCTTAGCATAATAATGGCTGAATAAATGACCCATATACAGAAGTGTGTAACTGTCATGAAGGAGTCAAGGAAGGAGGGAAAGGTCTGTAACTTTGCTGGTTGTCTATATGAAGGAAAACTAATTTACAGAAGATCTTTTTTCTCTAAAACATTTAAAAATTAACGACAACAAAAAAGTATGAAAATTTTTATGGAGGAAATCATGAAAACTTTCCAAAAGTATGAAAGAAAACATTTAAATCAGTGTGAGTGAGAAAGGAGTTTCTGCAGTTACAAATGTCAGTCCTTCCTGGGTTTACCTGTAAATTCTGTGTGATACAGATGAAAATCTCAGTGGAAGTCCTGAAGGGGATTCTTGGGCTAAAACTAAAGCATGGTGTTGATTGTGAGTTATAAATAATTGATCTAATCCACGCACAGCCCCCCTGAGGGGCACAGAGGAAGAAAGATGGTCAGGGAAAGGGCTGGTAATTAAGCTGAAAAGTGCTGCTTCCTGTCACCTTGTCACCTACCAAAGTAAACATGCAATAAGCTGGCCCTAACTGCAAAAAGTGTGACTGACTTCTTGAGAGAAGTAACTTCCCTTGCAGTGGTCACCTAGGACAGGGTGCAGGGGAAGAGGGCACTCTCTTGCCCTGTGTTAAAACCATCACACTACAGTTTAATGTGAAGGGCTACTTTTTGTTTTGTTTTGTTTTTTGTTTTGAGACAGAGTTTTGCTATGTAGCTCTCAGGCTGGCCTCAAACTCATGATGCAGCCCAGGCTGGTCTCAAACTGCACAATACTTTTGCTTCACCTCCCAAGGGTTGGGATCACAGGTTTGCCCCGCCATGCCTGGCCTAAGGTATACATTTTAGAAACCTAAATGTGCAGAAGTGTGGATAATTTGTGGTCTAGTTACATAATATAGGAATTAAAGGAGCACAAGTTATGTTGATCTACATAATATATCTCAAAAAATTTAGGTGTGTCTGTAGTCCCAGTTACTCAAGAGGCTGACGCAGGGGGATTGCTAGAGCTGGGGAGTTTGAAGCAAGCCTGGGCAATGTAGGGAGACTCTTGTCTCAAAAGCAAACGAAAATATAGTAAAAAATCATTGCAAAGGTCAGGCGTGGTGGCGCACATCTTGTAATCCCAGCATTTGGGAGACTAAGGCAGGAGGTTCACCATGAGTTTGAGGACAGCCTGGGCTCCATAGTGAGTTCAAAGCCAGCCTGAACTACATGGTGAGACCCTGTCTAAAAAAAAAAAAAAGCTAAATAACACCTGTTTTGTCCCTTACATAACAGTTACAGCATGCAGAGCAGTGTTGTGCATTGTCTGTAGAAATGTATGCTTGTAATACAACATAAATATTTAGAAAAGATAGGTGGCTGAAGGAGATGACCTGTGCTTTGTGTGTGTGCTGTCTGGTCAGTGGGAGGCCTGGATAAACCTGAGAAGTGGGTAAACTGGCATTCATATTCTTCTTACTTCTGAATGTCTAAACTTTCATAACACAGGGTGAATATCCCTTATCCAGAGCGATTGAACCAGGAGTGTTTCAGATTTTAGATTTTTTGGATTTTGGAGTATTTATAATTCATAATGAGATATTTTGCCGATAGGACCCAAATCTAAGCACTGAATTTATTTGTTTCCTACACGCTACCCGAAGTGACATTACAGAATATCCTCAACATGCTTGGGTTTTACCTGGGTCCTGCCCTTGAGATCAGCCATGGAATCTGCCACTTGTGGTGCCAGCCACATCACTGCTCTGAAAACTTCATCATTTAGGACAGCTTAGATGTCAAGTTTTTGGGTTAGAAAAGCTTAGTTTTTAAAAATGAGATACCAATTCTTGTGCACCTGTATATATTAGAAACTCCATTTCTGTACTGATTTCTTTCAGTTCTGTGCCTTCGCAAAGGAGATAGGTCTGGAAGGCTCTTCTTTGGTCACTCTTTGGCCAGGGCTTTTTGAGCATCCTGATATGGTCCCCCCAAGAAACAGCTGGGTGTTGCTAGGACGAGCCCTGGAGGTGCTGTTGAGTGTTCCAGCTCACTCAGGCCTGTATCTGAAAAGTTAAGGCCTCTGCTTCCTCTTGTCCCCATCTTAAGAGCAAAGAGCTGTTTTCTTAGAGGCCTAAAGGCAGTTGGTGAGCTTGAGTTGTCAAGCCTGGGTGGCCTCCTGACGCCTTCCCTCAGAGGCCTCATCTGTCTGCCTCACACTCTTGTGTGTGTAGCACCAGTGAGCCTGAGAAGGTGCTTGTTTCATGGACGTCTATGGAGCTGACCCAGGGGAGGTTTTTTGTGGTCAGGCCCTATGGCTCAGCTGTGTGCCCCCTAATGTAGCCCTGTAAAGCCCGGTGCTGACTGTCAGAATAGTTGAGGCCCCCTTATTTCCGTGTTCCCAAGATATGTTCACAGCCTACCCGGCCCACAGCAGAAAGGTGTCTTTCACTCCTTCACATCACTGTTTTAGGGACCCCGTCTTCACTGCGAGTGCTGCAGTGTGTTACCAAAGACTGGGGCTTTTCATTTGCCTGTGAAAGTGTTCTAAAAAATTCTAACTCAGGAATTAGTGGAGATGTAATTTCTTTTTAAAGCAGCTCATTCTGTAGAAGTTGGAAAGACACATTTGTGCTGCTATAAAACATACATTTGTGTGCACTGCAGAGGAAAAATATCCTCCCAAGTTTGCTTTCTTGATGCTGAGCTCCCCACAGAGAATATATTTTGGCGCCTCGTGTTTGCCTGTGAGGAATGAGATTAAAGGCTCATTTCCCAGCCTTGGCTTTTCTTCCGGAGTTTAGAAGTTAGAGAGCACAGAGCTACACAGTGCTCGGCTGCAAACAGGTCTCACTTTGTCCACAGCTGCTGCTGCGTCATGTCTGGTGGCCAGCTGTAGCTCCACAAGAGGCCACCCTTGTGCATGTGGTTGGTGGGACTGTGCCAGTGTGACCTCGGCCCCTGTGGTGGTGGCATTGGTCTGTCCTGGAGAAGGGTATGTTTTGGAGGACTTTAGTCACCTGAATCAGCTGAGCATCCCAGTTATCACGCATCTTTTGACTGACTCTCCATACTTAGAGATCCTTGCAGAACTCTTAGAAGTCCTCAGGAGGGCTGGGAGGGTTTCCTGTCATGGACACCCACCAAGGAGTGTGTGACTGGCAACACGGAGCCCCCAGAGAACCTACCGGGGCCAAGTAGGGTGCAAGGCACTCAGCTTAAAGTATGTCCCAGACAGCTACCATGATTGTTGGTTCAAGTCCTGGCTGTGGGACACTCACTCCCTGCAGCCACAGTCTAGGTCCATAGGAAGCACAAGTATCACATTGCCTTGGGTTCCTGGCCTCCTTGAGTCGAGCTGGCCCAACCCTCATGGCAAAAGGAGGGAGTGTTGGGTCAGGTCCTGGGAGGCCTAGGGTGGCAGCCTGTCAGAGGAGTGAGTGTCACAGCATTTGCAAACCCAGAGTGTGAGAGCGTGCAACCCTCTTAAGACTCTTAATTGAAAAGACCCAGTGAGGCCTTGTATTGGAACTGCCACGGCAGCAGGATGTTGAGACTTTCAAGCATTCTCTTGTTCCTTCTGTAGATTAAAATGCCCTAATGCCCCAGTTTGGATTTCTTGATTGCTGTTTAGAAAGTCCCTTTCTTTTTCCCTCCCTTCCTGCTCAGGAGGTATAGGGATTACAGTGCCTGAGCTGCCAACCACCTGGAGCTGGCTTCCCATGTCCAGAGCTCCTCATGGGCAGGGCCCAGGGAGACCTACATCTTCTCCATCCTCCCCTCTGCCCCCTGCCTGCACTGCTTAGGGGCGGGGACTTGATGAGACGTCAGCAAGAGCTAACCCTTGGGTTTATCTCTCGGAGTTCCTCAGTGAAGTGGACCTAAGCCTGGGTCACCAGCCAGGAAGGTGCGGGCTTGATGTCCACTGACCCTTTGGGCTTTGGTCCACAGGCAGTGAGAATGGTGGGGGTCACCCTCTTGTAGGGATGTTGTTCCAGTGGGCCTGGTGACACAGTTCCTTCCTGTGTACTCTGAGACTGGTGGCTTTGCAAGGCTTATCCCATCTGTTCCTGCCACACAGAGTGCAGGTTTCCCTGGTCACAGGTGCTAGTGTAGGCCAAGCTGCTTTCCTTCACCCAGCTCCTGGCCACCTCCTAGGGGTATGGCACCAAAGTGCTTGTTTTTGACCCTAGGTAACTTTTTCTTGGGTATAAAGGGAGGCAGCAGAATAGTGAGGGTGTGCCAGGGGCCTGCCTGCCAGAATGCCTGTGGCTGAAGGCATGCACACGTGTTTGGGTTGGCTCACATGGCAGCCAGTTTGACATTGAGAGAAGATGGTTTTGGCCATTGTGAAAAATCAAAAGCTCTTTCAGCTCACGACTCACATTCTGTGGCAGTCAGCAGAATGACTGGGTTATGTGGGGCATTTCTGCCCTAGTCCCCACCACTCCCATCTCAAGCCTGTGCTCCTGGAGTGGATACATGTTGAGTTGGTGGCCTTCGCTCTGATGTTTCCTAGGCACGAAGTACTCTGGTGAGTACTTCACCACCCTCAGCATGGAAGGGACTGTGTAGATCTTGGGTAAAAACAATTCCCTTTTAAGGGGAGTAGGTAAGAATGTGTGCCCCAATGACTGAATTTAATCTGGAGCAGGAATTAGTAAAACCTGGACTGGGATGTAGCTCAATGGCATCGTGCCTGTCTGACAAGCACAAAGTCCTCAGAGTTCGATCCCTGACATTGTTGGGTGGGGGTGGAGTGGAGGGATGTTACTAAAACTTTAATTTTGGTGAGAAAGTAAAGATGGAAGTTGTCAAATGCCTCATTATATCCAAAATGTAATCTCTGTGTATGGGTATATTTGTGTGTGTTTGGCAGGTGGAAAGAAAACCAGCCAGTATGGATATCTATGACACGCAGACCTTGGGCGTTGTGGTCTTTGGTGGCTTCATGGTAGTGTCTGCCATTGGCATCTTCCTGGTGTCCACTTTCTCCATGAAGGAGACATCGTATGAAGAGGCCCTCGCTAACCAGCGCAAAGAGATGGCAAAAACTTACTACCAGAAAGTGGAGAAGAAAAAGAAGGAGAAGACTGTGGAGAAGAAAGGAAAGACCAAGAAAAAGGATGAGAAACCAAATGGGAAGATTCCTGATCAAGACCTGGGCCCCAGTGTCACCGTCCTCCTCAAAGAACCAACACGCACTCCTGCCATGGCTGTGGCCCCAACTCCCATCCAGGCTCCCCTGGTCTTTACCCCCGTTGCTGCAGTACCAGCCATGCCCCAGGAGAAGCCAGCCTCCTCCCCGAAGGACAAAAAGAAGAAGGAGAAAAAAGTGGCTAAAGTGGAACCAGCAGTCAGCTCTGTAGTGAATTCCATCCAGGTTCTGGCCTCAAAGTCAGCCATCTTGGAAGCCACTCCCAAGGAGGTGCCAATGGTGGCTGTGCCCCCAGTGGGTGCCAAGACCAGTGCCCCAGCCATCAGCGTGGCTCAGGGAAAGAAGACGGAGGGGGCCCAAAACCAGGGCAGAAAGGGGGAGGGCACCCCAAGCCAGGGCAAGAAAGCTGAGGGTGCCCAGAACCAGGGTAAGAAGGCTGAGGGTGCCCAGAACCAGGGTAAGAAGGGAGAGGGAAACCAGAACCAGGCCAAGAAAGGGGAGGGGAACCAGAACCAGGCCAAGAAGGGGGAGGGGAACCAGAACCAGGCCAAGAAGGGGGAGGGGAACCAGAACCAGGCCAAGAAGGGGGAGGGGAACCAGAACCAGGCCAAGAAGGGGGAGAACCAAAACCAGGCTAAGAAGGGGGAGGAGAAACAGAGCCAGGGCAAGAAGGGGGAGGGAAACCAGAACCAGGGTAAAAAGGTAGAAGGGGCCCAGAACCAGGGTAAGAAGGGGGAAGGGAAACAGAACCAGGGAAAGAAGGGGGAGGGAGCCCAGAACCAGGGTAAGAAGGGGGAGGAGAACCAGAACCAGGGAAAGAAGGGGGAGGGAGCCCAGAACCAGGGTAAGAAGGGGGAGGGGGCCCAGAACCAGGGTAAGAAGGGGGAGGGGAACCAGAACCAGGGTAAGAAGCGGGAGGGAAACCAGAACCAGGCTAAGAAGGAAGAAGAGAATCAGAACCAGTCTAAGAAGGGGGAGGGGAATCAGAACCAGGGCAAGAAGGGGGAGGGGAACCAGAACCAGGCTAAGAAAGGGGAGGTGAACCAGAACCAGGCTAAGAAAGGGGAGGGGAACCAGAACCAGGCTAAGAAAGGGGAGGGGAACCAGAACCAGGCTAAGAAAGGGGAGGGGAACCAGAACCAGGCTAAGAAAGGGGAGGGAAACCAGAACCAGGCTAAGAAGGGGGAGGGGAATCAGAACCAGGCTAAGAAGGGGGAGGGGAACCAGAACCAGGCTAAGAAGGGGGAGGGGAACCAGAACCAGGGCAAAAAAGGAGAGGTGAACCAGGACCAAAGCAAAAAAGGAGATAGTGCCCACAACCAGGGCAAGAAGGGGGAGGGGAACCAGAACCAGGCCAAGAAGGGGGAGGGGAACCAGAATCAGGCCAAGAAGGGGGATGGTGGCCAGAACCAGGGCAAGAAGGGGGAGGGGAACCAGAATCAGGCCAAGAAGGTGGATGGTGGCCAGAACCAGGGCAAAAAAGCAGAGGGGGTTCAGAACCAGGGCAAAAAAGTGGAGGGTACCCCAAACCAGAACAAGAAAGGAGAGGGTGCCCAGAACCAGGGCAAAAAAGGGGAAGGAGCTCCTACCCAGGGCAAAAAGGGAGAGGGAGCCCCCAGCCAAGGCAAAAAGGCAGATTCTGTTGCTAATCAGAGCACAAAGGCAGAGGGTGGCACAAATCAGGGAAAGAAAGCAGATGGAGCCCCCAATCGAGGCAAAAAGGCAGAGGAAACTCCCAACCAGGGCAGAAAGGCAGATGCAGGTGCCAGGCAGGGGAAGAAGCCTGAGATAGCTCCTGTCCAGGGTAAGAGTACAGATGCAGTCCAGAACCAGGAGGCACCCAAGCAGGAGGCTCCTGCAAAGAAGAAGTCTGGTTCCAAGAAAAAGAGTGAGCCTGGTGAGTACTCTGCTCTTTGTGAACCTGGAGGGAAAGCTGTCTTTGTTTTGTGCATGTTCTTCAGGGATGCTGCCTATGTCAGCCGCGGCCACAGCGAGGCTGTATAACAAACATCCTCAGATCCTGTAGCTTGCAGCAGCAGGCATTTACTCAAACTCCTGTTCCTGCAGGCTGGCTAGAAGGTGGTTGAATGGGGCTGTCTGGGCTGGGAGGCTCTGTGGGAGGCTGTGACTTAACAGGGTTGAACTCCCATGTGGCCTACATGTGATTGTTCTGGGACCCAGGCAGAGTTCTACCAAGGTGAGAGCAGAGCCACAAAGGGAGTTTTGGGCTGCACAGCACAGCGCAGCAGCCTGCTGGCTGGGCCAGTCCTGTGACCAAGGCTGAGTCGGCTGTGTCTCTGGCAGAGGGCCTGCATTGTGGTGGGAGGGGATGAGAGGATGAGCCTTCTCCGTGGGGCTCCTGTCCTCCTTGAGGTCTCTGACCTCACCTGGGGCTTAGCGGAGCTTCTGAGGAGCAGCGTGTTTCTTTGCATTGCCCACCTCTCCCTTTGGCCTGCACCCTGTGCATTGGACAGAGGGCTGTAGAGCATCAACGTGGATGTTGGCTTTTAAGAGACACTGGGTGACATCGAGCATTGTTTGCCTCTATCTTCAAAGTACTTGATGTTGGACAGGGACTTTCTGTTTCAGGCTCATCACTTGCTCTTTCTTTTCTTCCTCTCCTTTATTGTTTTTTTAAAACCCTTTGAGTTGTCATTAGCTGATTGGGAAATTAACTAATTATATTTGTCCTGAAAAAAGGTATCTTCAGGCATCTCTTTGGACCTGGGCCAGGTAGCATGTGGGCCCATGTTTTGCTGGGTGTTCCTGTTTCACTGTCTTAATTTTCTCAGTCTCCTCCTGCCCTAGTTTTTGAGGAACCCTGTCCCATGTGACTGGTGTGGCTCTTATGGGGCATCAGGGACAAGCCCACCTATCCACTCCTTTCAGGTTGGCCTTGGCCTCAGGGCCTACTTCCCAAGGCTGAGGGTAGTCATGCTGCCTTCCTTTAACCTGATTTCCCCCGGTGTCTCCGTCCTATACACATGGTTAGAGTGGGGAACTGCTGGCGTCTGGTTCTCCCAGATGCGCTTCTTCATGGCCTCTTACATCCCATGGTCCATGTTACTCTGGATGGTTTTAGACATTTGAAATAAGATGTGAAACAAATATGATTGTATTGTAAAGGAAGGGGAAATTGTCCTAACTTGCAAGGAATAGAAAACTTGTAAGGAATGAGACCTACATATTACCTGCCTCAGCCTGTATAACAGCCTGATGGAGGCAAAGGAAAAGAATATTGAACCAAAAAAGTAGTATTCATCTGGGATGAGGAAGATAAATGTTAGAGATAAGTGGTAGCTATTCCTGAGTTAACTTACTGGTCTGAAGTTATTCCAGCCAAACTGGCAGTAGGATTTTACCTGCCAAGTGACAAAACTATCCTAAAAAGTCCCATCTGAGGGAGAAAAATAAGTAAGAGTATTGAAACAGGTTAAGAAATAGAGAGCCAGGAATGGTGGCACACCCTGGTAATCCGAGCCCTTGGGAGGCTGACTCAGGAGAATCGCTTTGAGTTCAAGGCCAGCCTGGGGTACATACTGAATTCAAGGCCAACACGAACTACATAGAGAGACTGTCTCAAAAAACCAAAATAAAAATAAAATTTAAAAAATTGAAGATAGCTGTCTTTTTAAAAGTGGCTTTTGGAAGGCTGGCTGGTCCTGTCTGCCGTGTGAATTCATTCCCAGCTGTTGTGCCCCCTTGGAGAACTGACCCAGCTATGTCAGTTTGGGGCAGTGTTGGTGGTTGGGAAAACCCCACCTAGGCCCCTCCCAGGCACTTCCCTCTGCACAGATTGAACAGATTGGATGAAATAGAGGTAAGTATGAAGTAAGTTGGTCTGGGTGGGCCCAGTGATGGAAGGTGCAGTGAGAGGAAGGCACCTCAGCCTCATCTCCCCACTAGGAGAGTCAGGCCTGCATCCAAGAGGTGTGGGAAGATGTGAGGCCCCTTGACACGAGGCAGGCAGATTTTTCCACTCTTGAATGGGTTTGAGAGTCTGAAAACTTGAGGAAAGTGTGTCCTCTTACTTGATCTTTTTTATTTTTCATTTTCCTGAGTTTGCCCTCACCCTGATCCTGAAGATCCTGGAGGTTTTCCCTCTCCTCCCTTCCCTCTGGCAGACCTCAGATTTTGGTATGTGGGACCACTCCCTGGGGGTCTTGATAAGATAAAGAAAGATGGATCTCCTGGGGCCAGAGGTCTGGCCTGTGCCTAGGAGCCTTCCTATGACTAGCAAATAAGTTTAGAATTTTATATTACTCAATTAAAATAAGCTTTAAGTATTACTATGAGCAAAAAAACATGGATGTAATCAGAAAAGTGGTGGCATTGTGAATGGCATGACCCTTCTGAAAAACAGTGTAGCAGAATATATCAAGAGCCCATGAGGGGCTGATGGGTTTGCTCTTCTGGACAAACTGTACACTGCGCCTTGCAAGTCTGTGGTTGGTAGCTCTGATGTCCCTTAGGCCACTAGGGGTGGGGACCTCAATGCACTCTGCCTACCCAAGCTGGGAGCAGCCACCAACAGTGAGGATGTGCAGATTCTACAGGAACATCACGCAGAGAACTCACAGTAAATTTTAGTTGTCAAAAGTAAGATTCCAAATTTTTTAAAAAATTTTTCTCCAGACAGTAGTTTACTTGAGGTGCGTAAATGAAACAAATCAGTGTTATACAAAATGAGAATTTTTGAAGTTTTATTTATAAAATTCCATAAACTACTAAACATAACAACAAAGAGTTCCTGGCTTCTATCTTCTTCTTTTTTTTTTTTTTGTACGGAGGATTGAACTCAGGTCCTTGCGTTTGTGAGGCAGGCGGTGGGAACCGCTGAGCTAAATCCCCGGCTTTCCTGGCTTCCATCTTGTATAACTGGAAAAATAAATTATTTTAATAGCTATCTAAATCTGCCTCTTGCTTCCAGAGAAATGAGTGTATGACATCTACATATTTTCAGACTGTCTCTAACATTTACAGACTTATAAGTAAATACTGCTATATTTTTATACAGAATTGGAAACAGCCCATTAAGAAGCTAACTTCTAGAAACTTTCTACTTGTAAGAACTGAACTTCATAAAATAAACACATTTTATAAATCTTGTAATTCAGGTAATTTAATTATGATTGATCTGTGAAAATATACAGTACAACTGTATCAGTCAGCCACAATTAGGTCCAAGTGTATGTGGCAAGGAATTTTACTATAGGATACCACATTCTTTAAATAACATGCTAACATTGAAGATAGAGATTCTAGATAAGTGACAAGGATATAAAAACTAACTTTAGGAAATATATGGTCTTCACCTAGAATTGCTAAGGATTGATTCTAAGATCCCACAGTTTGCAAAATCTGAAAGTTCAAGTCCCTGATATAAAATGCCTCCAAATAAATAAATGCCTCCGTATTTACACATAACCTGTGCATACCCTCCTGCATGCTTTCTGTCATCTCTAGATTATTTCCATCACCAAATGTAAAGTGAGTGCTGTGTACTTTAGGGAGTAGCAACAGTGAAAGTCTGCATGTTCTGTAGAGATGCTTTTTTTTTTGGTACTGGGGATTGAACTTGGGTCCTTGTGCTTGTGAGGCAGGCAGTGGAGCCACTGAGCTAAATCCCTGGCCTGAGATGCAGTTTTTAAATATACTGTATTTTCAATCTGCAGTGGCTTGAATCCACAGATGGGAATCTGTGGATAGAGTGGACTCTTTCACAGTGAGAAGTCCAGTTGTCTGATTTCTCTCTCTTTTTTTTTTTTTTTTTTTGCACTGTGAGCTCTTGTGGCTGTACAGCACTCCCTGATATCAGAAGTACCTGTTGGAAGGTTCTCTGAGGGCCCTTGGGTGGGAGTTTCAGGGGCTGTTGTGGTAGATTATTTCTTCTTTTTTTTCCAGCATGGGCAATTCAACTCAGGACCTTGCACTTGCCAGGCAGGCACAATGCTACTGAGCTACATCCCCAGCCCTAGGTCATTTCCTCTTAAAATGCTTCTTGCTAAATGACCTTCTGAAATCATTTTAGCTGCATAGAATTGGGGCTTGGTGTGTTATCTTAAATTCTGTATTCATTTCAAAAGCATAAGAAAATCATGTACTCCCAGATGTTAACAAGATCCAGGAAGCACCTAATGGAGGGGTTGGTGAGGTGCTTCTTCTGGAGCTCAGTGTGCAGGGCTGGAGCTACAGAGCACAGACCTGAGAGGGCAAGGGCCATAGTGGCACAAGGTTGGGGAGAGTCTCCCAATACTCTCAGGGAAGATGTTGGCCTTGGGCTGGGGGGAGCTCTTGGCTGTGGAGAGGCCCACATGGTGGTCAGGCAGCCCAAAGTGTGCTTGTGAACACAGAAGGGGACAGCAGCACATGTGGTCAGGTTAGGCCCCAGGTGACAGCATGTGTGTTCAGCTGATTTCCCATGACAAGAGGGTACGGGTGAGGCTCTGAGGTATCCCTAATGTGCCTGCAGTCTCCAGTGGAAGGCTCCTCATCTCTATGGAAAGAAACATTGGAATTCCGTCTCTCCTTGACAAGAGCTGTTTGCCTGCTGCCACCCCATGGGAGGAAGCCCCAGCCCGCTGCCTGGGCAGGCATCCCCACAGCTCCTGCAGTGGGATTACACTGGGGTGGCAGTTTGGTGTACCTGGAATGACAGGCTCTCAGGGGGCCATGGCCAGTCTGGGTGGTGATAGAGGTGAAGCGTCCAGCCCTTTCAGTGTCCTTTGGGGTAGCAGTCAGAGCCTGTGTGGCCACTGCCAGACCAGAACAGAGGAGAGTGGGTCTGCAAGTCACCTGTCCTCAGGAGCATGGTGTGCTTTTCTCTGAGCAATGTTGGGGCCAACATGGCGTGTTTATATAAGTGTACAGTGCACTGCCTTCTCTGCTTGGGGCTGG